ATCTGCAGCTGATGCAGTGATGAAGACATGAGGTGCACCTAATTGTCGAACTGAAGCAAGGAGCTCCTTAAATTTCTTGTTCACAGAATGGCTTTGATCCTGGTAGGTCAGTTCCAGCCCTAGCAATTCGATTGGCCACTCGCTTCAACTCTTCCTCATCCCCATGTTGTACAATATCTCGAAGATCATCCACAGTCCATGCTGCTTCCTGACGATGTGTTGACATGTACCAAGCTGTGTCCTTCTTGGCTTCATCTCATAGATGAGTATTGAGGGCCCAGTATCGAAAGTGAGGATGCCTAGCAAATCTTCCATCTTCATAGTGAAGAAGGTGGGAAGCCCACTGTGAGAATGTGACTTTCTTCTCACGGACCTCATTGAAGTCAGCACAACCAGTTGGGAACAGAGAGGGAAATGCTCCAATTGCAATTTTTACATTTTCCCATTCACTGATTGGTTGCTGACCAATGGATGGCATCTGAAGGACAGGGGGATCTCCATTTGCTGCATTGCAAAGCTGCTCAAGTTCTGTTTGTGGAGCCATGATATTGGGTACAAAGGAGTGAGTGATTATGCCAGGATGATCATCATTGGCATCCTCATCTCCTGGTGGTCCAGGCTGAATGATGGGGGCATCATTCTGGGAAGCAAACTGGGGGGAAGAGGTTGAGTACAGAACCATCATGAGGGAGTTGATTAAGGTTCTGTTGGCTGAATGTGACATTGGCATATGATGGATGATGGGCACAGAAGAAGAGAAGCCAGTCCCTAACCACCTGGCGACGAACATGAGTGTCTTCATACACTATTTCATTGAGGACATTGTCATGGGCAGTGTGACGCAGACAAACAAAGTCACACTCTTCTGGAAGGAGAGGCAGAGTTGCATAGAGGCAGGCATTGTTGCGTGGGAAGTTGCAGATGTGGCCTGCATATTTTGTCTGCCCACCATGAATGCTGACAACAGACATCATGACATGTATGGGTGAAATGAGGATTTCTTCCATTGGTGTAAGGATACTAGCAGGGCATGTGGCAGGCAACTGTCCAGGATCCATGTTGTTCAAAGATGTGAACACGTCACCCCTGGCACGACAACCTTTGCAGAGACCATTGACAACCCCCAGATTGAGCCACTTTTCATGGCAGTGATTGCATGTCTCCATTTGGACCTCCATGGCTTTATCACGGAATTTTTTGATGATATGTTGGTCTGCAGGAGATAGAGCAGGCTCATCTGGAACAAAGATGTCCAAGGGGTTGATGTCATCAAATGGGTCATCTTCATCCTGATCTACAATAGGTTCATCATTATTTGATGGAGGAGGAGGGCCTGGAATGCCCTGATCCTCTTGATGCCGCTGCCGATATCATGCATCCCCTTGGCGACAGTTCTCACAATGATTGCATAAGACACCATTCCTGTCCAGAGTGAAGGCTGTGATTTGGCACAAGTGTCCACGTGAGCAGCATTTCATAACTGGTGCAGGTGGAAAGGGATTGGGGGGTTCAGGGTGTGGTGGGGGAGGTTCAGGAGTCATATGGAAGGGATTTGAAGGATGTACATGTGTATTATTTGGATTCATGCCTCCAAATGCCAGCTGTTCCATGAGTGGTTGAATTTCATCCACATAATCATCACCCTCAGAGTCATTTGCAAGAGATCTGGGTGGATTGTTTCCTTGGCAGGTGGGTGATTGTGGGGGTGCATAATTGGGACGAATTCGTTGAGATGCACGTTGATCAACAACTGGGGTGTGTGTCATTCGAGCAATGTGGGAGCGTGAGCCAAGAATTTGTTGAGGAGGAGTCACTGGGGGAATAGGATTTGCTACAAAAGTACAAATACATTATTATATATTTACTCCACTTTAATTCACAGGATGACATACCTGCAGTTGGAGTTGCATTATTTTGAATCTGTGGCCTAGATGTCTCAGATGGGCCAGATTGAATGTCTAATCTCATACCAATTCATCCCAGAATTAATTCAATATTTAAATTTCAAACTACAAGAAGTGACCCACCTGAAGTTTGACCTAACCTTGATGGGCCAGCACCAAGAGTCTGGCTTAATAAGTTGGCAGTGGCACATTGCTCACGGCACCGTTCATTCCATCTGTCTTGCTTAGCACCCACCAGATCTGCATCACAAGGCATACTGGAGGGCTATCCCTTCACAACCTGGCCGCCCCGTCCCGTGCGACTAATGAGTGCAATTTGCTCCCAATTTGGTCTTGATCCTGCTTTAGAAGCCGCCTCACAACTCCACGATCCCTTTGTCCAAAAGCAGTCTGAGGTGGAGAACAGGCGCAAGACAACTGCAGTTATGGAGTACAGTAGCTATCTTTAAGGGCAAAACCTCTAAGCAATCTCCCTGCTGGTTGCAGAACCAGAGAGGTGCAAATTCAACCACCAAACTGATCAGAAGACTACCTTGGCAGGGCAGTTCAACTGGGATGGGGAGAGCACTTCAGATTCTATAGCCTTATTTTATCAGACCTCTTGTGCCTTCACACTTGGTTCACTGCCAGGAATGCAAGGGTGGGCACCACTCAGAAGAAAGCACTGCCAGAGAGTCACTAGAGGGACTTACTGTACTATTTCGACTGTAGGTTCAGCCAAATTTCGTGTGACAAAATTTTTTGCTTCCGCTCAGGTGGCCGTTAGTTCGCGGACTGCTGTGACGCGTGACACTCAAGTTCAGTAGTTCGACTACCAAATTAGGGATCCAGAACAGAAATGGCCGAAAACCCCGAGTGCCTTGTTTTTGATTGTCAGCCGCTCTCAATGATCATCAGTGGAGTTTTCCATATGTAATGATTCTAAACTCCTTGTGTTCTTGATCACTTTTTACGGAACACCCGCCTCTGCTATGGGTCCCTTTGAACGTGCTGTATTCTCTGCTATAACGACTCGCGCACCAGTTTTGTACTCCAGCATTCCACCTGATCTTGTTGGGTCTTTCTTTCCATCTCAATCTCTGACAGTGATGGAATTGATCACATTTAACATTATTAAGTTCCCTCCATTGGGCCCTATTGTAACATACAGCAAGCGTGAACCGAACACAATCATCAATGAGAGCTTCCTTCAGACTATGCAATATCCAGCTAGGCTTGCAGTCGATCAGCTTGTGGCCCTGCTTGACAGTAATGCGAATGCATGCTCGGTCCTTATCAATGGACAGTTCCTCCCTATGGAGACTGTGGAGATCTGGAGGATACTGGCGTGGGTCCATGATGTTCCAGGCTGGTCAGTCAAATTGGGGACCTAATTAGGTACCATTTTCAGGGCAGAAAATGGTACCTAATAGGTCCCCAGACAGTATGGCTGAAATACGGCCAAAATATGGCCATTCCGATTCATTTCAGCCAATCCATGGCTGTGCTAGATTATATATTTATTTATTGTTATTATTATCATTATTATTATTATTATTATTATTATACTACTATAATTATATACATATTATGCTATATACATATTATCCCCCCCCGGGGTCTGCCACCACAGGGGGGGGCATGGTTCCTGCAGGTCATGCACCTGCATATACCCACCACACCCAAGTGGGGTCCATATGCCCTGGTCGGGGCTGGGTCCATTTGGGTGCTCCCTCGAGGGAGCGGATTTTTGTTTGCGGGTGCTTGTTCGCAGTTTTCGTTTGCGGCGCGTCATTTGGCGGGTTTGTGGTTGGGGGTGTACACGAGTTCTGGTTCAGGATCTAGCGAAATTTAAAATGAAAGATTAGTTGAACAGTAATGCAGCACAAAAAGAGCAGCTTATGCTGCTCTTTTTGCGCCACAAGAATAAAAAATAAGAAGAAAAAGAAAACTGACCTTGCAGTACCCCACACCAAAAGAAAGAGAGAGATAAAAAACACCTCCTCTCATCCTCTCCTACTCTCTTCGTACTCCTCTCCTCCTACCTCCTCCCTCCTCCCTCCTACTACGGAGGGAGGAGGGAGGAGGTAAGGTCAAATTACTCTTGGATGGAGGGGCCGTAGGTCGGAGGAAGGTCAAATATTAATATTTTGAAAAACAACTCCTATGACTGGCCTAAGGATATTTAGATTCAAATTCAGTAGTTCACCTTGCATAATTAAGCTTACTTCAGCGTGACCTCCGTCCGCCTCTGGTTTTTACTTCCTATGGCCCTCTTTTTTTTCTCCAGAGGAGAGGATGGTCATGTAGGAGGGGAGAAGTGTTAGTTTATAACTTAACTTTTCATTCTTGTAATTAACTCATAAATGAGGTCCTGATTGAAGGATAATTCGAAAGTTAGGTACGACCTCTGCTGCTCTCCTATGCCTCTGCCTCTGACTCTGTCTCTGCCTCTGCCTCTTCCTCTGCCTCTGCCTCTGATAGGTCCTAAGGATAAGCGTTGCCTAAATGGCACTGAGAACATAAGCGTTTTTCGAGATTTGAATTGAATAGGGACGCAACTACCTTCTCTTTTTTTTAACTTACTACTGACTTCTAACTTTATTATAGCGAGAGGTCATACGCAATAATTCCCAGAAAGGTGGTGGTGGGTTTACTTAAGTCCAGAGTAAATGAATGTTCCTCTGCGAGTTTCTAAACCTTTTATACTTTTCTATTTCGTCTTTGCTTTTGTGGGGGGTCGCGACAGCGTTAGTAGCAAGAAAGACATCTACTCACAAAATTTGCTCTTTAGAGCCTATCCCCCCTTTCTAATCCTGTCATAGTGCCTCCTTTTTTTGACTCTTCTTTTTTGACCTCTTCTTTTTATGAGGTCGGTCGAGGTGGTCGGCCTCCTCCTTTCTCCACTTTCCTCCTCTTTCCTCCGCTTACCTCCCCCTTCCTCCTCAAACGCTAATTTATGGAGGAGGAGCTGCTGCCGACTTCCTCTGGTGGTGAATTTATTAACTCCTGGCAAAGAGTTGCCAGGAGAGTGGAGAGGAGAAGATGAGGAGAGAAGTTATCTAAAAACCTAAAACCCTAAAACCTAAAGAAAGTAGACTTAAAACAAATGATTCAGCTGAAGTAGTTTAAATGGTCAAAACATACCACTCATGACGGTAAAAAGAAGGTTCAACTCCTTTTTTCGGCTCGTCAAGTTTGCTAAATAATATATATAGACTAGGTCATAAAGGTCAGAAGGTAAAGTTGTAAAGGTCCCTTTTTATTATCTGATATCTTCTTGTATGATGTGTTATCTAGGGGCCCTCGCCCTCCACTTTTTTTCTTGAGGTCGATGGAGCCCAGCAGCAGGGCTCTTGTCTATTCTGACTTCGAAAATTGTTCTGCATAAATACATAATTCTAATGATTAAGCCACATATTAAAATTAGCATCCGTCTCCTTTAACTAAATAAATAAAGCATAGGGCGCGACGGAAAACTAGAATTCTATAAAAAACTTGTTAACTATGCTCCAGTAGATCGTAGTTGACTCATAATAATTATCAAATATGACATCGAAAAATTTTACTATATTTGCTACTAATTTCTTTTACCTCCAATTGCCGAACTCTTCGCAGGTCGTTTTGCTGGGTGCGGTTGCGTCCTTGTTTTGGCGCGTTACATACCGTTGCGTCCTCATTTGGTGCGTTGCCATGTGTCACGTCGTTGGCGTGTGCGTGTGTCGCGTTGTGGCCGTGGTGCATATGTCACGTCCTTGGTGCCATGCTGTATGTTGTGTGGTGGGCACATTGCCATATGTTGGGTCATTTGGGGGTCCTCATTGGGCGTTGCCGTTTGGGCCCTTGTTTCACGGTTGTTCGTCATGCCTTAGACGCCAGGTACTCAATCTAGAAATACAAAGATATGTTAGTAAAAAGATTCAAAAGAGGGCAAAAAGAGCAGCTTCACTGCTCTTTTTTGTGCGTTGTATCTACAAGCAAAAAAAACTCACCTTATGACCACACGCCCGCTGTGGCGGGTGTGTGGTCGTACGCTTGCCTTTTCGGGCGGTTCGTTGTTGTGGTTGTGAGATGAAAAAGAAGATGTGACAATTCAACACTCGGCAATTGCGATACTCAAGAAGCGCCCAAGTGCTGGCGACG